GCCCCCAGCACTCCCTATATCCTTTCTCTGCCTTATTTCCTCCTCTAAAATGTTAGATATTTTACTTTGTTTATTGTTGTCTTCCCTTCCCTTCCATGAAAACAGGGTTTTTGTCTGATCATCGGTTCTGTATCCCCCAAGACTTAGAATATGACCTGGAATAAAGTTGGTGCTTAGTAAGTATTTATTTAAGGGAGGGATGATAAGAAAGGAAATAGCATTCCAGTTTGAGCATTTTTAAACTATAAACAGAATGTGCCAGTTGTGTATCTGTGCTTCATTTTGTCACTGTAAGGGTTATACTCCTCACCATGCTCTTCTGAATAAAATTTCTTGCAATTGGCTTACTGGAAAAGACTTCTATTTGACAAAACATGCTCCAGCAGGTTTACCCACCCAATTATGGGGATGGATGTCCTTAATATAAATATTTTAAATATAACATTAATATGCGATATCACTCCTAATCACCAAGGGTATCTGGAAGTCAGATGCTTCACAGAGACCTAATAGCTAATAGAATGCTGTTTATAAATGACACTCAGCATATACTTGTTGACTAATTGACCCGAATAGTACAGACAGTAAAAATCAGAACAAGTCAATGGTATATCTAGGAACTTACCTATCTAGCACACATTAAAAAAAAAAACAACTTCCCTGTAAGTTCAGTCTTGGCTTCAGTTAATGGTGAGTCCTTAAACATTCGTGGGGTCTTCATAACTATGGAAACTGATTGAATAAAGCATTAGAGATTTCATCAATGAATCACATTAAAGAATTATATTGTTGCACATAAGTCCTTACTGGATAAAATTACTTCTTTTACGAAATAACCTAACTTTTCATGTAGTTGTCAAGTAATATGGCAGGATCATAAAAATTGGCTATTTTTTTTCTATTTTATATATGGTAGTGTGCATCTGTTAATCTCATACTCCCAATTTATCCCTCCACTTCCTTCCCCTTGGTAACCATATGTTTGTGTTCTATGTCTATGAATCTGTTTCTGTTTTGTAAATAAGTTCATTTGTACTGATTGTTTAGATTCCACATAGAAGTGTTACCATATAATATTATCTTTCTCTATCTGGCTTACTTCACTTAGTATGATAATCTCTAGGTGCATCCATGTTGCTGCAAATGGGAATATTTTATTCTTTTTCATGGCTAATATTCCATTGTTTATACCACATCTTCCTTATCCATTCATTTGTTGATGGACCCTTAGGTTGCTTCCATGTCTCAACTATTGTAAATAGTGCTGCTGTGAATATTGGGGTGCATGTATCTTTTCAAATTAGAGCTCATCTTTTACAGGATACATGCCCAGGAGTGGGGTTGCTAGATCATATGGTAACTCTATTTTTAGTTTTTTAAGGAACCTCCATACTGTTTTCCACAGTGGCTGCAAAATTGGCTGTTTTTTAGTGATTTGTTCATATATGAAGAAGATGGGGACATTGAATCCATGATAAATAGGAGCAAATTCTTAGAGTGACTGTTACAATGGCAAACCTTAAGCTGCTTCTAAATAAAACAAGATGGAAGGCGAGGGGAAATCCAGTTGCGTACATTGGTAGCAAGAGATTCCTGGCAGCTTTGCAAAACCAACATATGTAATATGGAATTACTGAAACTAATTAAAACGTTGATATAATTGAATATGGCAGATATTGCCATGATTTTAGGCAGTATTGTAACAAATACACTTTCCTCTGCTGTAGGAGACGGGGATTCTCCTGACATGAATAGAGAGGAACTTTCTCCACACCTCTTCTGAATTTTTTCCTTTCCTGCATTTCTCAGTCAAATTAGACCAGAGATTCACTTGGACGTTGCCTCTGCACACCCAAGTGGCACAATTTCCTTACCAAATTTGTCTCCAAATTGATGAAAGCTAACATATGTGCTTGATATTACATATGTAGGCCAGAAGAACTTAGAAATTCTTTTCACCTTCTCTCCCTTTGTATAGTTAAGCCCACAGAGGACAGAGGTCATTTCTCTCTTCTGAGGATACATTGTTAGGGCTTTTTAAGAAAATGACCCAGAACAGAGAATTGAAATGAATACTTGTCATTTCTTTCTTTTACCTGTTTTTTTTTTCTGGTTTTGTGTGAGGAATTGTAACATTTTTTATTTTTATTATTTAACTCAATGTGGGTTTTTCTGGATTTTCTATTATAACCTGGTATACTGAGGTATTTATTAGATATTTAAGAGGCAGCCTCACATGCCTCTTATAAAATTTCATTTTACATTTACCTCGTTTAAGACTACAGGACAAAACAAAATACCTGGTGTATTTAGGAAGAGAAATGTGTATTTGATGAATTCACTAATATATTACTTTTATAATAAATCATAATTACAATCATTTTAAATAAGAGTGATTATATGTCAGATTTCAAAATGTAGTAAGCAACTAAAAACCACAGACAGAAATAATTTCTCCAAGTAAGAACTATGTTTGAATCGCTTTATACCTAGATTCTGTAAACTTTTTACCTGCAAGCATTTTAACTCATTTTGAAAGAGCAATTTATTTTACTATGTAACTATGTGAATTGAGGAGATTTATTTTTAGTAGACCAAAATACCGCTCAAAGTATTATTGCTTACGTCTCACAGCTCATTTTCTCATGACTTTTCAGATTTTTGACAAATCTCACCTCTTAGCACATTACCAATTTTAATTACTGAGTGAGTTTAAATGTTTTTTGCTTGCCAATAGTACATAATTTCCAAGAGGCCAATCAGAGAATTATACATAATTTAACAAGAAATCTTTCTAGTCCTTGGGGCTAATTCATGACCATTTAATTGATAGAATTTGTTGAAGTTGTTGGTGTGCAGCCAACTCCAAGGTATTTAATAGATGTCAAAGTACAGGCACATGAAAACAAAGTTTCTGTAAAACCACATGTAACAGAATGATTTCAACTTTTTCCTCATCAAATACGAGTTAGTGAGGCTAACAGGTAAGCCGAGTGTCTGTACCTCTCTCATTCAGGCCCTGGTTGAGGTATTAATTACTGCTTCACAAACTTGATGATTATCAAAATTTGACTATTCTTTCCCTTTTTTCTTGCTTTATATGTCAGAACATTTATTTGGTCAAATATCTTCAATTATGAGTCCCCATTTTCTATTATACTTCCTTTCTCTCTTTTTGTGCAATTAATTTTGATGCTTAAGTCAATGTCCATTTTTCTAAACCCTTCAACTCATTTCTTAGCTACTAATATAAACATGATGATTACCATCTAAATATCACTTTTATTTTCTGTTTCTGTTGAATTGCAACTCCCTCCATATCTGCAGTCTGTTAGGATGCCAGGGTGTACCAGACTTAATAATCCCAAGAGCCTTGAGGCGGGTATTGTCACATGAGTTTAAAAAAGCCCAAGCCCCTGATATAAAAAGGGTGTATCAAGAAAAGGATAGCGTAATAGAACCATCTCAAGATAACCAAAGCTGCAGAAGCACTGAGCAGAAGCGAGGCACTGAGGAAATAAAAAGGTTATCAGATCATTCATGTTACTTGTTACTTGTAATTTCTCGTAACTAGTAGTCATCAATTACTATCAGACCACTTTAATTTTCAAACTTTCATAATGAACATGAAGTGTGTTCTGATGCAAGAATGTACTCTTGCTTTTTGACTAAAGACTAGTGTTAAGAAGAAATTATATCTTTCGTGAAGGATGAGCAAGTATAATCCAGGCCAAAAGGGAAGATTTTCACTAGATAATTTCCTGGCACAGTGGGCATACATGTCATTTAGTGAGTGAATGATTCTTACATAAAAAGCGCACTCAAATTCCAGGTCACCATCATCAGGTTGTTACCACTGGTTCTGAGACACCTGCTAAGACCAGGAGTTAAGGGAAGCAGTCTTCTCTATGTATCATGATGGATAATATTCACATATTGAAACCTGAGGCTGGGTTTAAGATTTTCTAGTTTTGTCTTTATAAGTATCAGAGTTATTAAATCTCTAGAGTACATAAATCTATGTATATATATATCCATTTATTCATTCAACATATGTTTGCTGAGTGGCTCCTATGTCTAGACACTGTACAAAGTAATGGGGATTTATTCATTCACTCAGCGTATAAAGTGTCTACTATGTGCCAGACACCATTCTAGGTTCTGAATGTAGCAGCAAACAAGACAGCTGTACTGTCTTATGCTATTTTTAAAGAAACACTCCACTGTCAGAATTTCTAAATAATTTTTTGTGTGTAGTTGGGGGAAAGAAAGCAATAAACTTAAACTTTATTTCTTGGTTCTCCACAGACACTGGTTAAATGGTTATTGTCTTAATTTTTTATTTCTTAAAGTGGTGTATAACTGCTCAGAGTTCATATTTTAAAGGATTAACAGATTTGAAAGTTATCTGTAATGACAGGATAATCTACAGACATGCCCAGATGCAGTACTTAGAACATGGTTGTCAAAGTACTCATTCTGAGGCTCTCTCCCTCCTTTTTTTCCCCTCTCCGTAAAACTTACCTGAAGATGGGATTTCTATTCAGTTCAAGGGAGTTCTCCTCTTAGATTACCTCAGTGGGATATACAGCTGGAAAAGAAACAAACCCTTGAAAATACATCAGGAAACTTGATACATGTATTTTTCAAAAAATCAGTAGGTACTCATTTCCTTTAAGATGGTTCTAAAGATGAGGATAAATTTTCCTATTCAAAAAACAATCACATTGGTTTGGACTACATTTGGAGGTCATTATTAATAAGGAGGGAAAAGTGAATAATTCCAACATACTCTGAAACTTTTTCTCACTTATAAATTAAAAGTACTCGATATGTGGTTAATACATTTAGAAAGTTAAATTGGTTAAGCTTTTCAAGATAACAGTAAAAAAATAAAGTTCTGAAAAGTGTAATGAATAGAATATTTTGTATTGACCTAAAGTCTACAATTAAAAAAAAAACAATATACAGTAAATTACTGTGTTTACTCTGTCCAACAGATACCTGAAGAGCCCCACATAAGGAACTGTAGAGCAGCACTGACCGGTAGGATGCTCTTTTTAAATTGCCTAGATCAAGAATACAGTGTTGGTTATATCGCTGATGGGCGGTGATCTGTCTGCCAGCACATATTTTTGTTTCAGTCGACATTAAGTAACATGCCTCTGACATATAAAGGAAACATCTCTGAAGCTGGAAGATTCTCTTCAAATTGTGTGCAATATACAAGATATTGACCAAGAGAGAAAGAAGAACTTTAAAAAGATTAAGGTATCATTTCAACCTTTTGACATTTTGATGAAATTTAATCATCCAAAAACTAATCTCAGTACTGCTGATAAAGAAAGCCTAAATGTTTGTTTCCAACAAGCCAGCTTATTACTGGTTTTTTTTCCTTTTGGTTAATTACTGGACTGTGTTTAATCATGATGTATATTAATGTTACCTTCTATGCTCTGGGTTGTGTGCAACTTTATTTGTGAAAGTGTGTTTTGTACCAAAGGCTCTCCTACATAAATTAGCCCTTTTATATGTAAATAAGTGAAGTCTAAACTGTGCCCAGATAAATGGTATTAAAGACAGACTTGCCTAAAAGAAATGTGCCTTGCTTGGTTAAACACTCTTTTATTTTTTTGATTCAAAAATGATAGATTTGCAAATTAGTCTTGTAGGTAGGTTTTAGCTGAGCTTAACTTTAATAAGTGTATTAGTACTTATATGTTTAAGTTGTCTATCTTAACTAAAGTTTTAGTATTTAGTTATACTTTTCAACAGTTCATAGATAATATACTCATTTGATTTAATTTTCATGCGATATTTGGTGTGGTGAGACAAAGCACATTCTTAAAAGATATATACAGTATTTCATCTAATGTTTATAGAATTTCCTTAAAAAGCTGTACCTGTAAAAGTTTCTTGACTCATTTTCTATTTTTATATTCTTTTAGAAATGGAACTTTTTTCAGTTAAAAAGAAAAGCAAAGTTTTATTTGGAAAAGAGATTTAGGAGGTCATGAAAATGATTTCCCTTTTGAGGACATTTCACTTCTGTGCCATTATTAATGTATTTACTGTGACATTTCAGCAGAATGGTAGCTATTTGTATATTATTTAATAAGCCTTATGGAAAGTCAAACTGTGAACATTTAGTATAAAGAAGACTTTTTTCATTTCCATATTTTATTTTCAAAATACACCTGAACAAATGCATAAAACTCTAATCTCCTATTATTCAAATACATAACAACTTTCAGTCACTATCAAAATACTGTGGTAGGAAAGCCAAGATTATAGTACTTTTTGATACGCTGTAGAAGGAAATTCAGGTGATGAATTTCATTGTTAATATGTAAGAATCAGTAACTGAAACAGTTTTATACCTACTGGTAGCAAAGGTGATAGGAGATAGAATCCAGGTAACTTTCTTTAAGGCAACATCTACAATGGATTTTGCACACTTTGCTGGTAATTTCTCTGTGGTCAAAACTTTGAGACCAGATCACTCTAGAAAATAATGAAGTAAGAGAATTACAGCTGTCTCAGATTTGAGCTATGTGAACCTCCAAGCTGGGTAATTTGTGATTAAAGTGAAAATATAGCCACCACTGTGTTTTTGTTCTGTGTTAGGCCACGTAGTAGAGACACTGGCCCAGAGAACAGTCAGTCCATTTCCAGCCACCTCAATACTCCTAAGTGATGATCACAGCCTGGTCACATCAGCTATCGGGATCACCAATCACCTGTCCTAATAGGAGGTCTTAGACATGCAGACGTTTTGTAAGTCTGCGTGTAAGTCTGTAAGTAAGGATCAGAATGTGTTACCAAAATAGACACGGGAGCTACCTTCATCAGACACCAATGAGACAACTTTAAACGTTATGGAATGTTTAATATCATGTCTACATTATTATTACAGGCTACAGTTTCAAATAAAGGCAAAACCTGAACCTTTGCAATAAAAGGACAGAGTGGTACCAGATGAGGAAACTGTCATGTCAAATATGGGTAGTAAAAATAGTATTGTTCTAGGAGACCGGAATTCTTACCCATTTTCTGCCTGTGGGACCCTAGATAAGTCACTTCCCACCGCGAGGCTTCAGCTTCCTAGTTGCCAAATGGGTGTTCTGGGTTAAATAATCTCCAAAGCCCTTTCCAGCCCCCAAATTGCCATTTTATTCATTTGAAAAGGTTTTGAAGAATACTTAAGTACTCAGATTTCCTTCTGTATTTCTGGAAGAAAAAAATAAATTGAAATAAGATTTAAGTCTTGAAAGTGTCATAAATGTACCATTCTTCAAATTGATTGTGAGAGAAGAAATTGGATTTTCTTCCATCTCTAAGAATTGTTACTGGTCTATGATGGGATCATGAAGAAGGAGAAACATCACTCTGCAGGATGGAAACAGACTAATGAAACCTGGAAAGGAAGAGAGGTTATTTTTTTAATTTAACTTGATGTAAGGTGATTTGAACTCATGTGTGAAATGCTAAAACTGTACCAGAGCTTTATCATACTCAACATTATAATCCTGGGAGTAAGAGAAGGTGGGAAAAGGTCAGAGAGATAGGAGTGTTTGCCTTATGAGCTCTTGATTCTTTCCGCATGAGCCGCAGTTTGGCAGCGTAAGCAGGTGTCTGTGCTTCCGTGCTGGCTCTGCCAGTAACTCTCCCGTGCCCTAGGGAAGTCCCTTTAACCTCTCTGAGCCTCATTTCTTTATATGTACAGTGAAGACTTTAAATTTAGTAATCTGTCTGGTTCTTTACATCTTTGAAAATTCTACATCATTTTCAGATTGTTATAATAAACATGTCCATGTCCTGCTCCTCTACAGTCACTAAGATGCACATATCTCTACTCATGTGACTGAACAGACTGCAAATCCAAACATTCATGTCTCCAATATTGCTAATTGACCTCGGCAAGACGTAAAACATGTAAATATTTTGATGTTGACCATAGTTTAATTCTTATGATTTATCATTTCATCTTTTGATGTTATCTAAATGAAATGTCTGTTCAGGTGAACTTTCGATTTAAATTTTTTGTAGTTGAATAAACACTTGGTGAATCAGAATTAAATATATTATTGCTTACAAAGGAACTGTAGGTGATTGTAAGGTGCATTTTTGTCCCATTTAAAAGTTAATATTTGGTCCCAGAAACGACGACTATAATTTAAAATAATATTCACAAAATTTTGTAAAGTTTTGTGACTACAAAAGAGGCTGGATGGAGCCATATTGTAATTAATTTTGCTCAGGAGTGAGAAACAAAATTCAGGGATAACCCAAACGCTTCTGTTTGGCTCTAGTGGACAGCTGGAAAAAGAAAGGTTATAGGTTTTGCACAACATAGGTAAGAAATGATTATACCTGTTGTAAAAGAAGAGTATATTCTGGTTGCTGGTTTTATTAGGATAGAAGGATGCTAAAATATGGACACTAGGGAAATTGTTAAAATGATAGCAGTCCATTTGAATAATACAGGAATATTTTGTCATACTAAGATTATTTGTCCAGAAGTATAGTCTTATATGCTTCCATTCAGAAAAGGGGGCAGTTTTTAAGGGCCTCTGTCATAATAGATAATGTATGTTTTGACTAGTGGAGCAATTCATTAAAATATTTAATCTGACGATTTGGGTTATGTGAATCTGAATTTTCACTTTAGATGTAATCGAGTCTCTTCCGTATTAGTGTTAGTGATCTTTGTAAGAAGTAATTTTATCCGTTTTTTAAAAGTTGATGAAATTTACTAAATGGTGATTCTAGCATATTGTGTTAGTAGCATATCTTACAACAATTTGTGAACAGACCATACAGAACCAAACCATAGTAGTATCTCTTCTGGTAAATTGTTTCCATGGTGTGATCTCATAATACTGGGTTTGGGGTGGGGAGGTTAAGTATTTAGTTTACTTAAAACTAACTGTTCAAAGTGTTTTTCCTAAATGCCATAAAATTGTATGATTATAAGCCAAATAGGAATATCCTATTAAGGACACTGTATAGACCATTTTTGGAACTACCCCATAAAATGATATAATTTCTGTTAAAAAGTTGCTTCACATACAAGGGAAAGCAGTGTATGTAGTATTTCTATGTAATATGCCAAATGTTTTTGAATCCATTTTGGAAATCTTATACAGAGAGATGGTAATTACGCAGATATCAGATAACAAATACAACTACAACACTTCCTTGTTTTCATAGAGTTGTGTAACATTTGTTTATTGTCTCATACTTTGCAAAGATCATTCACATACCGTATTTAATCTTTAAAATACCTATATGAAATAATAATACTATCTGAAGTTCGGAGATTAAATAACCAGGGTTTAGAAAGATTGTGACTTGTCCAAGATCATCTGGCCACCAGATGACCTTAAAGCTCACGTTCTTTCCACTTTTCATTTTCCTATATCACTGTCATTGTCTTCAAAATTTTGACTAAAATTTAGTTCTAACTGATACGTCGGAGAAATTCAGGTGTTAGCTACAAGGCATTGTTGCTGTTATTGTCAGACCTTTTCAGATACTTCCAAAATACTGTCCTCCCACAGGGTGATAGCCAGACATCTTCCATCTAAAACATATTAAGTCCCCACAGTCTGACCACAGACACTAAATCGGTATGATGTCAGAATGCTAGACTGAAAAATTATCTTCTTCCTGATCTCCTTTCTAATTTCCTTTTTTAAAAATCCATCATAATGCCTGGTTTCTGAACAGTTGAAAGAAGCAATAATCAACCCAAGAAACTGCAGACATTCTAATTCAGAGAAAATATCGTTTGAGACCCACCATATTAATTGCTTTTCAGCCTGGGGTTTTTCATCCCATGTATTCTGGGACTAGGGGGTACAGGGAAGGGGGAGTGGGTAGAAAATCTATCTTTATTTTAAGAAAAGTCATTACTTCCTGTAACTGTTCAGAAAAAAAATTGTTTATCAAATATTAGATAACAGAGTTATTAACATTTAGCCATAGTTCAAATATATGGTAAAGTTTATGCGTATATTTAAAAATCCACTGAAGTAATTTCCCAAATAAAATTAAAATCTGATGACTGCTCAGTTTGAATCTGGAGAACATTCATGTGTTAATCCATGACATAGTCGTATATTTTAATTATTTTTTCAAACAACAGAGAGACACTGTAAGTGCTTTCCCTTGTAAATCAACAGTTTGTGATACATTCTGTACTTTTACTGACTAGCAATGCAGTGTTACTGTGAATAATTAAGTGGAACATAAGCTATAGTATATCAGAATTTAAAATTTTGTAACCTTAAATTTCATTCTCCTCATCAAACAAATATTATTTTGTATGGAATGAAATCATAATTATTCTTAAACAATGACATAATAAATAATGGAATTCCAGATGAAGTATAAAATCAAATCATATTTTATATTTTTCTATATTTGTCTTCCTTTGACATTGAATTATATTGATTTATCATGTATTAATGTAAAGTTAAATTAAAGCTCTTATGCCATGTTCTGTGATGTTCTTGAAAATAATTTTGGGCCTTCTGTTAAGTAAATATCAGTAAATACCTGTGAGTTGAATATGTGATATTTT